GTGGAGCCTCGGCTGCATTCTGGCAGAGTTGTTCACCGGTTTTCCACTGTTACCAGGCGAAGATGAGGCGGATCAGCTGGCGTGCATCATCGAAATGCTAGGCATGCCGCCACAACGATTGCTGCAAAACTCGAAACGGTCGCGTCAGTTCATCAGCTCGAAGGGCTACCCGAAGTACTGCACCGCGACGGCAATGCCGGACGGTACGACAGTGCTAAGCGGGGGTCTCTCGAGACGAGGGAAGCTGCGCGGCCCGCCGGGCTCGCACGATCTCGAGCGCGCCCTGAAGGGTTGCGACGATGTGTTGTTTCTGGACTTTCTCAGGCGTTGCCTCGTGTGGGAACCGGAATGTCGAATGACACCGAACAAAGCATTAAGGCATCCGTGGCTACGCCGTCGATTACCGAGGCCACCGGGCGACAAGAACGACACGCTACCAGCGGTGACATCGGCGCAACCCGCGACAACCGGCGGCGGTCCCACCCTGAGAACATCCGCATCCGGCAGCAGGAGTTCCAGCAAGACTAACAGTCTGCAGAGCAGCAATAACACCAGCGACGACATCTCAACGAATAAAACAACGGCTCAGCAGACGAGAGGGAACCGTTTAGTAGAGGACATGGTATCGGCTTATGCGGGTTATTCGTACAATACGTCCCAATTACACGGTGGTACTTGGGGCACAACGGGGGGATTAAGCAGTGGCCACCAATCACTGAACTCCATTAGCGGGACTGGTGGCGGCGGTGGCGGTGGCGGCAGGAGCTCCTCCAGCAAGACTAACAGTTTGCAGGGCGGCAATAACACCAGTGACGACATTTCCGTGAATAAAACGACAGGTCAGCAAAGGGGTAACCGTTTGGTCGAGGACGTGGTGTCCGCTTACGCGGGTTACTCGTCAGCGTACGGCGCGTCCCAACTGCACGGCAGTACTTGGGGCACGACGGGGGGACTGAGCAGCGGCCACCAGTCGCTCAATTCCGTCAGTAGCAGGAGTTCCAGCAAGACGAACAATCAGTTGCAGAGCGGTAACAATGCATCGAGCGGCGATCTTTCCGCGAGCAAGACCGAACGTCAGCAGCAGAGAGAGCGCACAAGCGAGTTGCCGGTAACGATCTTCGATCCCTACCCACTCGGGTCTTACGGTTGTCTGTCCGAGTCCCAATTGCATAGTAGTCATCGATCGAATCAGAATAGCAGCCATCAGTCGCTCAATTCTGTCGACGGTGCGACGACCGGCAAGTCGCAACGCGCTCGTCAGACGCACCAGACGCAGCAGCAACAGCAGCACAATAACAATGGCGCGTCGCACGACAGTTACGGCTCTCACGGCTCCTCGAGCAGCTCCAGCCGGTTGGTACTCTCGTTCCAACCGGGGATCCAGGAGATCCTCGAGGAGTTGAGACGATAGGCCAAGACGTGACGCCAGTCGTCTCTTTCTCCTCCCTTCGGTTCGCTCGTTCGTTCGCTGCCGTTCTAGGCATTGCTACTGACGAGCGTTTCGTCATGAAACGGTCGCGCGGATTCCTCATAGATGGAAGGGAACGCATAATGTAAAGATAAGGATGATCCGATCCCGGTCACCTAATAACGTGAAACTCGGCTGTGTCTCGCTGCCTGCCGTTCGGGCGACCGTCTGACTGCGCCACCTCGACATGGCGTCGAGGAAGGTTACTTGCGGTCGAAAGGGTGGGTGGCTGTCTTATCATCGATCTCGGATACCGCTGTGATTCACGCGTCGCGTTTCTACGGTCGCTGTGGTTGACTCGATGAGACTTGAATCGGTTATAATTTGGTGAAAAGAGGCGAGATCTATTTTCTATGAAATACGCTGCTTGTAGGTTGAAGGTAGAGTGTTTATCTCTTAAAATTAAAAAGCGAACGTCTAACGTTATCGATGGAATTGAAGACGTTTAACGTTATCGATGGAATTGAAAACGTTGATTGTGAAGAAAAATCGTACGAGTCCGAAAAAAAAAGATTGAGCGAAGGAAGGCTTATTTTCGCGGATTTGTCACCAATGTTATAACCAATATTATAACTTTCATGCCTCACGCCTAGCCTGGCGCTACAAAGTCGATTGCGCGATAAATCTCGAAATCGTACCTTCAGCCACGGCGACATCGTCTCGCGTTGCTCTCTGGTCCGCTCGTTTCGGGGTTCATTCCCATTGCCATTGCCTTCGCCGTGAAAATATGCGGTCGGTACGCTTTTCAATAAGAGACGAATTTTTCCGCTATGACAATACCTTAAGAACTCTAGCAAAGCGTCAGAAATCCGCGTAAATAGAGTATAGAGCGATTCAACACGCGATTGTGCGTCTTAAAACACTCGTCGTCGAGTCCTTTGCGGAACGTACAATCATGGAGTCAAAGGACCTTTTCTTCTTCTCGAAACGTGCCGGAAATCGTGAGGACGATCTCGACATTCGACACAACTCGACTATATGAGGCACTCATTCACCGCTCGGTTGTGTTTCGCCCTTTGTAAAATTGGAGTTTACATTTTATTCAAGATGAACGATGAAACATGAAATCCAATTTTTCCAGATCTGTGTAACAAATCGACTGATCGAGGATAAGTATAGAGACGTATGTAAATATTACTGTCAGCTTTGTTGCAATGCATAATACACGAATCATTTATCCTTCCTCGTTGGCGCGACGTATTTTCTTCAACACAATCGATTTCACCGGAGATGAGACGACAGGCCGTGTCGGATTAATCGCAAACAGAAGTCAGCTGGCCTCAAAGGAATCGTCGATTGATTTACATTCACATAAGTCTCGGTTCATGAATCATGATTAATGCACGTCGATCGTCTCTTACGAGCCGTCGACGCTGCGCGGGAGTAGTTCGAGCGACCTGGAGGTCATTGTGCCAAGGGAAGCCCGGGGAAACCGCGACGGTTCGATAGGTCGTACATGATGTAGCACGTCAGATATATCGTCGTGCCGCGATGTCGCCGAGAACGGCGGCGCAGGTATAACGATTCGCTCACAATAGGCGTGATGAAGAAGTATATGACTGAATAGAATAATTTGCCGCTGATTTTGAAGACACTGTCGTCTCTCTGTGATTTGAAAGAAAATAACGAAATGTATTTTTCCGTCATCAATACGTCCGATTTGTTGCACATACTTGACAAAAGCGCGACAGCAATTCGAGCTTGAAAGTTCATAGATCGAACCAATTGAATCGCTCATGAAGAACATTGTAAAAATATGACGATGCGATCTTGTATAGTTTATAGCTTTTACGAATTTCTTTTTGTAATTTTATTTTGTAAATAAAATGTGTTAAATTTTTTGTACTGTATGCGTTTAGATATGTGTTTATATAGTGTTTGTTTTAATCTAGTAGAACGGGACACGTTAAGCAATTATTATTTTAATATTTCTTTTTAATTTCTTGAAATGAGCCGAAAGTATTTTTTTTTTATCCTTTTGACGCTAACTTTTAATTGTTGTAATTAATTATGCACTTTATTATTCTTTTTATTCCGTTTTATTGTAATTATGCGGCTCCTATAGGGAATAGAGGAAGCTGCCTTCCCTGCATCAAATTGCTCATTACACGAATCCATTAGTGATGAATTATGAACACTCATTACGGTTTCAACCGAACTCGAAGTTCAGTCAATTCTGAAATGAGTTTTGATTATAAAAGCAAGCGCGGTGAACCGGGGAAACGTCGTATTTTCCGACGCTCTAGCGTTTAATTCGATGCGATGAACGGCGCGACGTGCAATTTACGACGGGAAGAATCGCGCCCGGTTTGTTAACTTCTCTTGGCTTCTTCTGAGCTAACTGGGTTAATTTCCCCCTCGCGCATTCTTGTGTCGGTGCTTATTATTCGCGCTGCGTACATCTTATCGAGGATGAAAATGCCCCGTGTTCAATAGCGGCTTTCTATCCACGCGGGTCTCACTCGGGAGACGTGACAGTCGCATTTTTCACGCACTATCCGTCTTTCAAGTCTTTTTCCCCGCAAAACACGGTCGGTCTTATGCGTCTCTGTAGTGAGAAGCCCGGTTTAAAGGACACACGACAAAGAACCGTGTCCGAAAATAAAAGAGATTATCTGTACTCGTGCGGGGTGAACGACTTGAGTGTCCTGCGACCGCTTTAGTTCCGCATTATTATCGGTACTTTGTAGATCCTGCCATGAATGGACGGCTTTTATATGTGGAAAACTCAGAAATAGAGTTTTACAATTTTAAAGAAAGGAACACGATAGTGTTTACGTGAAAAGAATTATTTTTCTAAAGTATTTAAATATTTAGCTGGATACAGATCTGAAAGTAATTTTGTTGGACCATCCAAATAATTACGTAGAAATCTCAAATATGATGAGCAATGCTACAAAAAGTTTTGACATTCTAGTAACCAGTTTTTATTTGAATATTTCACATAATTATTTTGATGGTTCAACAAAATGATTTTCATAGATCTAGTTGAATTTTTAGGTATATTAAAATCGTTCTTTTCGCGTAAATAATGTAAATAATTTCTACATAAAAGTCGCTCAAATACATTCGTATCATCAATTCACTAATTATCAATTGTTTTATCCGTTAAAAATTAGGAACTGTACATTATAAATCGTATAAGTTGAGAATGTTTTAATTAATTATTAATTTTATTTTTGAGAAGAAAATGATTGTATTATTCTGTAACGATTGTCCCGTGAACATTTTATTAGAAGCATGTCAGAAACGAAACGTGTTTTTTTTATTACGTAACTTTTTTTCGGGAATCGGAAGAAATTTTGCGAATGTTTATTTATTTGTACGAGAGAAAGTATGTACGAAAAAAAGACAAAAGAGAACTCGATCCAAACTGATATAAGTAATCGATTTCCTAATGTGTAATTTTATCCAAGTGCAAATATACTATTGGTCGCAATATAGAAATCATTAATCATTAACATGCATCATTTCCTCGCTAACCATCCATCGCTAAACACTGATGCGCTTTAAGTAGCCCTTACCGTCACTGATTTTCCCCGAGTTATTTCAAGCTTTGCTTTGTGGCCGACTATAATCGTCGGGCGATCTTCATCAAGAACAGCTTTCGGAACACGACAGCATGTAGTCCGCGAACAATGCAACCGGGCGCCTCGCGATGACTCTGGCGATGCGAAATCGCTAAATTTAGTTGAACCAAACAAAACCATGTGCGCGGGGCGGACAGTCGTAAGAGCCGAGCGTGGATGAGTGACGAGACAACGACGAAGGAGAGAGACGCGATGAGAAAAAAAAAACGAAAGAGAAGAGGGTGAAAAGAGTGTGTTGATGCAGCCGGCTATGATAGCAGCGAACAGCGGCGAAGTCAATTAAGCTCGAGGGGGATCGGAGCGATCGGCGGATTAAAAATCGTGATACCGAACGGCATGTCTTTGTGATATGGAACTTAGGCGTACTGGGATTTATACTAACGAATGTAGATAAAAAATATATATATTATATATGTGTGTAAAAATCACGTATATTATGTTACGTCGAGGTGATGAATAGTATGTAAAGCGCGCGATGTAGTTTAATCTCGTCGTAGACAAAGTGCTCGCGTATGGACCTCTTCTTTTCCTTTGTATAAGGAATATAAGGTGTACAAGGAACAAATGTCGATGCCCCGTTCTTCGAAGATTTGTCGCTCTTTGAAAAAGTATTCTTGTGAATAATACATAATCGTAATTAAATATTAATATTATATTAACATAATAATACATTATATTAATATATATTAATATATCTATATATTAATATAATACAACACTATATATTGTATTACAATATAATATTAATATATAATTATTGATATGTATTATATTATTAATATATTATTCACACGTAAGACGTACAAAAATCGAAACCTCTTTACAATCGATACTTGTTCTTTTTTTAACGACCGAACAGATGAGAATACTCATTGATGTAATAAGTATAGACTGCATATTCTCTGATCTTAGCATCTGTACTCCATTAGAAAGAATTGAATCAACATTTCTCTTCAACTTGACATTTTAGAGAAAGAGCAATATGATTCAAATTACCTCACTCTTTCTAAAACGATAATAACAACTTCATAGAAATCTGCAGTTTATTCTTATCACAACTATGAGAATACTGGATCTTCGATACGGCTTTGAGTACAGTTCAGGTCGAGTGATGGAAAACGCAGGATGATCTTTGTGACGTGTTGTGACACGACGTAAGTTTCGAGCTTGGATTTCTTTTATCCTCTCTCCTCCATCGATCTTAATCCGCGAAAATGTCACTCGATTATTTCGTACTGATATTTTAGCGTGCGGTAGTATAACTTTTTTATTTCTTCGTAGATTTTTATTATCTCGCAAATTTTCAATCCGACCATAACAGAACGAATTACGGCGAACATCGAAAGAATCGTATTGCTACGTGCGCGTTCGCGAAAATACTGATCTCATCAAAAGATAAACGAGAGCGTCAATTGCGGTGGCCGAAACCCGGAGAAAGATAATCACGATCCGTCGCACATATCCTGAAAATTGATCGGGAAAATCGACCGGTTTCAACGATCGTACGTGTATTATTTTAGCAGCGATTTTCTGGGACCGGTCGTCGCTACCACTGCCGATAACTCGTTAAGTAGATGCTACGCTTCATTTTTCACAAGTTGGCTTATTTGGGCGAATCTATTCTCTCCGTTTCCCCGTTCCGTAATTCTCGCGAATTAACACGCAGAGTGCCAGCTGATGATTTGCTAATTTTGCGTACAAAGGTACCGCGTATCACTCTATGTAATGCGGAGACAATTAAGTGCGTAGTATATATATATATATATATAAACACATTATTGAATATCCTGTATGCGCACAAATGTCTTCGCGTTAATCGGCGAGATATCTTATTAAAAGAACGTTTAATGCCTAAATATTTGTTACTTACGTTGCACTACGACTTGTGATGAAGAAAATGAAAGGTATAAATTTCCAAGATAATGACCAATCAAAAAGATTACACGCATGGGACTCTGTTATGAGTAATAATCAATTATTGACAATTTTATTCAATCTCAAGTTTATACTCTAAATTCTTTAGAATGGAATCTTATTCTAAAAAATGAGAAAATTGAACCAGTTTTGACAAAGAGTCTCTTCAAAGTGATAATTCACTCTAAAAGTTTTAGATAATAACACACACTTTTAGAATATATTTTAACAGAAAATATGACTTCTTATTTACGGAGAGGAAAGTTTTTGGTATTTGTGACTGTAATTGCATGATAAAATAATTACTGCTATATTAGGAGTTCTAACCAAAACAACATAAACTTACAAACAACATAAAATTACAGTCATTTTCGGACACCATATATTTCTTTTCAGCATATAAAACTATAATTATTATTACTAACATTATACAATTATAGTCACAAATACCAAAAATTTTTCTCTTAATATTATTTTTGTTAAATATAGATAGTTTACGATAATAGCATCTTATAATTTTAGAGGTAAAGTCGAGTATTTTTTATGCTGGAATTACGATTAATTGGCGTAATGATGCGGAATTGTATTGTCTTAACGAGATTCAATCAGTAACGCTCAACAGAGTAACAATGTGGCACTCAACGTGTTAATCACTATTTACGATGATTGTACTGACTTAATTTATTTCCTTGCTGCTTTAACCGA